CCCCTTCCCCTTCCCCACAAGCATCACGTCTCCGTTCAAGGGGCAGGGATAAGAGTTGGCACCTTGAGACTCCCAAGGGTTAGAAACTGAAGCTTTATGCTATCAGGGGAAAAAAAAAAATCCAGTTTGGGGACATACCTGTGATCCTCCTTCTTTGAACGAAGGAAAATCGAGCTATATTTTTGTGTTAAACGAAAATTTTGAACAGCAACAAAAAAATAAAGCTGGCTGCCACAAGCCAACTACTTTGTTCTGTTGCTGAAAGTTCCCAAACGTGGTTCTTAATGTCAGTACGCTGCCCTGCTGTTTTAATCAAGTTTTAAAGATCTTTGTATATCATTAATTTTCTTCCCATTCCGAGTTTCATAAACCTCACTCTTGTTATGGAAGGAGATAGGATTTGAGTAGACCGAGACACACGGTTGCTACAAAAATGCTTTTTAAAACACTTCTAAGTGGTCCTAAAATAATTGTAATAACTTATTTCATATCACGTTGTGTTTCCCCTCCCAAGGTGCTGTGTGTAAGCTCACAGGCTCAGCTTAGGAAGGCTGTTTTCCTGCCGAGTGGTAAGGCTGCCGTATAAATAACTCGATCAGCCCAAACTGCTGCCGATATAAAACCTCCTCCTAAAATATATGGGATGGCACCACGTGTTCCCTATGAGACCAGACGGCCTTGGTGCCTGTAGCTGCTGGCTCTACAGCTAGCTGGTATCTGTCTAGGTGAAAGATTCTTGTGTTTATCAATATTTGAATATTCAGCCCTATTTAAATAGCCTGAATCCCTTCCAAACCTTTGAGCCTTCTGTTTTCTATAGGGCTGGTGCCTCTGGGAGGGCAAGAGCCAGCCCAAAGGAAATCCAGAGCACAGGGGTTTCGCCAGGATTGCACCTGAGGACATCCCTAAGTCACCACTGTTGGCCTCTGCCTTTTCCATGTTCCCCTTTCCACGCAGAAATGCTGCTGGAGACGTGCTGTGACAGTTCCAGGCCACATCCTTACGGCAAAGAAACACCCACAGAGAAAAAAAAACAGTAATCTTTTACAGAACTTGAAAAGTACACTCAAACCTTGGAGAAGGCGGTGGGATCAGCCTCTCCCCCCGTTTCAGAGCTTAGCCCCTGAGCCTGCGGCATGGTCTGCGGGGACCTTTTGCAAGGTATTTCGTGAGCAGCCAACCCCACAGGCTACACTGCAGCTTTACACGGGGTTGCAGATTTGGGGGGAGCTTCTTGGGACACACAGCGTTCCGTTTTCACAAGGCAAGGTGCAGGCTTAGACCCAGAGACACTCAGATTTAATCCTGGGTTTCTCATCAACCCTCTGAAACATGACCTGCCTCTTAAGCTGCTCCCAAGTCACCTCTCTCCAATTAAGGAGGGCTGGACCGTAAAATGCCACATCCTCTGCCCGTTTGGCTTGGCAGATTTAATGAGCCATTATGGTAGAAACAAGGTAATGCCCTCGAGCCACCAAAGACCAATCCGTTATTCCTTTCCCCCCCCCGAATGGGTCAGCTGGCAAACTCACACCATCAGTTGCACAAATCTGCTCTCTCCTTGAAGGGTTTCTGCAGATGGTTTTATGCCTCTTGTCATTGGGGTGGGCTGGGCTCTGGCAGCTGTGAGGTGATGCTCTCCTCGCCCCCCACGATAAATGCCCTTTTCCATGGCAGATGCAGTTGCTAATAGGTCAGAACTTTCCTTCTCAGTGGCCTGAAATGGAAGAGGTGCGGGTAGGGCGAAGGCTGAGCACCAGCCTCCTCCTTCCCACCCTCTTCTGCACGTGGGTGTGCGTGGCCTAGATGGGAAAGAACAAAATAGCTTCTCCTGGTCGCATCCCTTCAGTGCAAAATTCTGGAGATGTGTTTGGAGACGATGACATAAACTTTCCTATTCTCTTCCTCTTCTAGGCTACGTCCACTGGTCATACTTGACAAACAGAGATGTTGGGAGGACATCTAAATCTTCTCCGACATTTCACTGCTGCTCACTAAATAGAAGGGAAAGTGTCACAACGGTTTGGCCAGTTGACAAACATTTCTTGAACACTTTTCCATGATTTTGGCATTGTGATTTTAAATCCCCCTTTAATATCCTCCTTCCATCCAAACTACCCTTATTCCATAAGGATATATCTACTTATCAGAGGAGCATCCAGTACTTTGAGAGTTTCTCCTACCAAAGCTCTGTACCTTCTGGGCCAAAGTCATGCAATCAAGTAACACCATCCTGTAGGACCTCAGCTCAGGGTTTTCTCTTGAGGGCTGAGAAGCCACTCAAGTAGAGCTCAGGTTTGAGTTAACAGTCAGTGAAACAACGTGGGATTTCTTTCCGTGCTCTGCTCTGCTGCTCGTTTCCTTTTGCAGCTTCATCCAGTTGTGCTCCTCAGGGTTTGTGAAGACGTTAAAATACTGCATTGGTTGCAAATATAATACAGTGTGAACAATTCACTAAGCATGCTGAGGGAAGTGTGGAATGGCAAAGGGACTCCAGGCAACCAGAAGGTTTTTAAGAAGGAGAAATTGTGCCATGGCCACACTAACACTGACATGCTTTGAGGTTAAAATTGTTCCGAGCTTTTCTCTTCTGAAGTAACTGCCCAGCTACTAACACCTCCAGAACTGTGACTAGTGCACAGCAGAGCTAAACCCGTGCTCAGACAAGACAAGAAAGGCTGGGAGGTTGTTCTTGCTGGTGTAGAGTTTCAGAACTTGCCTATCAGGAGAAGATACTTGTGAGAGATCTGGATCATATGACATAGAAAAGACAACACTCTTTAAAAACATTGTACAAAGTACTCCCAGGACTTCAAGGAAACCATGATGATAATGACAGTGTTTCTGTTAAATGTGAAATATGTATCTGAGAGACATTTTTTCTTAAATAACTATAAACATAAGAGCGAGAGGATCTTTCAGGACAATGGATTTGCTCTAAATATTACCCCAGTACTATCAAACTCTGTACTGTAATGTGGTTTTCTCAAAAGAGAGAACTAAAATGATCCTGCATTTAATGGAATGTGAAAGAATAAATATAGATAGACAGCCAGCAGGAAGAAGGTATGCTGCTCATCCTAGAATTAGCTAGAGAGGACAATTTGTGTAGAGCATAGCAGAACTGGCTGCTCGGAGCTGGGAACGGAGCGGGTGCTCGACTGGGAGTGTTTTATTGGTACCCACAGGCTGTTATCCTGCTCCCCTTTTCTTGAGTGGGAGACATTTGAAGATTCAAAGCACGGCCAGCACAGTGTTTGCTACCCACACCAAGCCCACAGGACTCATTCCAAGAGCTGAGCTGTGCAAAGTAGCGTGCTCCTGGTGTCAGAGAGGTCTAAAGAGCCTCTTCAGCTTCCTTATTCACCGTTTTCTACCTTGTTTCTACTCTTCTTTTCCTAGGAGAATGTTTCCAGCCATGAGAGTGAAAATTACAGGCTTGGATCCCCACCAGCAGTATTACATTGCCATGGACATTGTGCCTGTGGATAACAAGAGATACAGGTGAGATTTTTAGGTGCAGAGGCAGGAACCTTGTGATAACCTACTGTCAGTGGCAGCCTCGGAAGGACACGTGCCATTAGACCCCATTGCAGAGGTATGCTGGAGGAGACCGTGTTGATTTACACCAACATAGCTGATTTGACCCAAATCGTGAGACACAAGCCCAGAGGTTTAATGTACACTCTTGCACTCTTGGATTGAAATCCTGTTCTTCTCAAAGAGCAGGTTTTGACTGGGGAGATCCCTAGCACGTGTTTCACGACTGTCTGGGGGAACTGGTGACTGGAGTTGTCAATGGGGAGTCCTGAGCCCCTCAAACCACTCCAGCAAGAAAGGAAAGGGTTGTCAGCTACTGGAATAGGCTGCCCAGAGAGGTGGTTGAGTCCCCATCCCTGGATGTGTTTAAGAATAGGGTGGATGAGCTACTTGGGCATATGGTTTAATGGGGATTAGGGATGGTTGGACTCGATGATCTCTAAGGTCTTTTCCAACCTAGAAATCTATGAAATCTATGAAATGAATGGGCAAGGAGCAGCTGACCTGAGAGGGGCACCTCACTGCCCAGCACAGCAGCCACAGGGGCTATAGGCCCTGACTTGTGGTGTGAGAAACCCTCCGGTGCATCTCCACCAGTGAGCTGAAAGACAGGAAGGAAAGATTTTTCTGATATTAATGGGCTTCTGATCCTAAAACGTACTCTGGAAAACTCCTGCATCCCAGAAAACTATCCAGGCAGAGGTGATTTATCTATACTCATTAAAAGACCCTCGAGAGCAAGTCTTTTCCCCACATAGTCTTGACTGCACCACATTTCAAGGATTCAAGAATTGATCCTCTACTTCAAGTGCTAAATACTACATTTTTGTGCTCAGATTGTGCAGAGCGTTTCTCAGGAAATTGCTTTTCCTAGGATGCACCAAAGCAGTGTCTGACATTCAGCTACATGTTTTTCCCCTTAATCTTGGGAGTGTCTGACAGCATTAATGTCAGAAGTAAATATATTGTCTTACACTTTGTTTCTGTCCTTGTTAGCTTCTGCAGCCACGTAGAGCAAACCAGCAGTGAAAGGAACAGATTCCTTTTTTTTTTTTTTCCTGCATTTCTTGTGAAAATACAGGAAATGAGTGGCTGTTTGTAGGTAAGGACTGAAATAGCTTAGCAGAGCTGAGCAGAGAATCAATGAGGGGCAGCACAGGGCAGGACTCAGAGGCGTGAGCAGGACTGTTTGTGCAATGCCTGAGGCTGAAGGAGCAGCAGGACAGAAAGATAAAAAGAGTCCAGGTAAGGCTGGGGTAGAGAAATTCCTGGCACGAGTAGGATGGCTAGATCAGGAACACAAAAGATCACAAAAGACCAGGAACACAAAAAATTATTTTTTCCTCTGATTTTAACATTTGTAATATCATGTGGGATTTCCTACTTCTCAACATTTCAAACCAGAAATTCTGTTTTATCAGTTGTTCTAGTGGTATCCATTGGATTTTGTCTCTTCTGGGTGAAGACACGTGTTTTTCGCAGTCTGGCATGGCAGCCAGTGCAGATTTCCAGAAATTACAGAGCATTTATCAATATGTTCAGAGAGGGCTTTGTTCACCCGTGTTTTCCAGCCTCGTGCTCTGGCTCAGAGAGGGTTAAGGAGTTGGGAAGGCACATGTGGCAGAGTTTTACAGGGAAAATAACTGCAAAGGTGGTTTTAATAAGGAATCAAGTCTGAACAAGTGGCTCAGGGGTAATCTGGCTTTCATTTAGAAGGTAGGAGGTTGCTATAAAGCACATTCTCCCCTGACTGCAAATGAGAGCTTGGGGGGTGGGTGGCAGGGGAGGGCGAGCTCTGGAAATGTTCCTCCAGTGACTGAATGAAGGAATGACAACTTCCTTTGGCCATCTCACCTTCTTCTTGCAGGTACGTGTATCACAGCTCCAAGTGGATGGTGGCTGGCAACGCTGACTCCCCAGTGCCCCCGAGGGTTTACATCCACCCTGACTCTCTGGCTTCTGGAGACACCTGGATGAGGCAGGTGGTCAGTTTTGACAAGCTCAAGCTGACCAACAACGAGCTTGATGATCAAGGCCATGTAAGTTAGAAGCTAATCCTGGTGCCTGTTGCCCCAGCCCTGTTCCTCTCAGGCTTGAAAGGCTCCTGCTCCTGTGTCCTCCTGGACACAAGTATCTGCAGCCACTCTGCAGAGTTATGGAGCTTTTTTCCCTACTTCAATGCTTTTCCTCAAAGTGTTGCCTGACCCTATAAAGCAATAAAGCCCCTTTCTCCCTGCATGTAGCACAAACTTCATCTCATACGTACTTGTAAGAAAAGGGTAATTTTCTTCATATTAGCTCTTACTCCATCCCTGCTTCCTTGTACATCTGGATGTAGTGTAGAATATTTGGAAAAAAAAATAATCCTTTTCTTTTGCCTTTTGTTTTCACTTCAGATAATCTTACATTCAATGCACAAGTACCAGCCCCGCGTTCACGTCATCCGCAAGGATTTCAGCAGTGATCTTTCTCCTACAAAGCCAGTTCCTTCAGGAGATGGGGTGAAAACCTTCAACTTCCCTGAGACTGTCTTCACTACAGTGACAGCCTACCAAAATCAACAGGTAAAGCTGCATGCCTTCATGTTGGGTGTTCATAAAAGTATCAGTGTGCTCTTTGTGTTTGAGACATTAGCTTCTCTAAGAAGTGTAGCTCAAGAAGAGTTCTACGCTTTATGGGTTCACTGGAGGTTTTTTTTTGCATGAAAAGAAAATACTTTCCATGGGGCAGTGTGTAGACATGAGGTATCTAGCTGGAAAACCACCTTGCAGATAAGGTGCCTGCAGTTTTTCCTGTAAAGTGGGTGAGATCAACCATAAAGAGGTGTATTGTGTTCACGTTTCCTTGCTGCCTCGTGGTACGAACTGCAGTGTTCTGTCCCCACTGTAACTTTGAGACAGTACAACTAGCCCAGATCTCTTATCTCACAGGGAAAACACATAGTTGGTTTTCTTTTTAGCAGCGAAGGAAGAAGTTTTAGAGAAGTGCAATCTCATCAGTTTGCTGACAAAAGAAGCCTTTGACCATAAGCAGCCACAGTCCACGTGCTGCATAGGAGCTGAGATTCTCATGCATAATTCCCGTTTGGTTGAGACCTTGCCCAGCTCCCAGTGGAGGGAGTTACTATTCAGTCCAGATATCATAAGGAAATGATGTTGCCACAGTGGGATCCTATCTGTGGAGACCTTAACTGCTGAGCTTTGTTACCAATCTGCATTTTCTCCTAAGCTAGACTTCATGGCACTGAGAAATGTAATCTCAGTGCACGCTAGTGTTCGATTACGGAATTCCCTGTCTATCCCTGTTTTCCCCAAAGATATGAGGAAATTAATGGCTAGGAAAACGTGAGCACTTAATGTAAGCATTTGAGACACCAGCAAGGAAAGGAGATGTGGAAAGCCCTCGCTGTGCGTTGCACACCTTTGCTCCCCCTTCTCCTTCAGCGGTCGGCGGAGGATGGTGTCAAGTCCTTAAGGAGGTGGCTGCTCCATCGCCTCTGCAGGGGTGTTCATCTCACACCTTGAGAGCTCCTTCTGTCCACCCGTGCCCTTTGTAGTCTCCTCGTGGGTCGCTCCTCTGCCCACTGTCTATGCCTCGGGCTCCCATTAGCCTTCCACCACCTTTGGGCTCCCTGCTTTATCCTCAGGGGAGAGGGACCGTGCACATCCCATTTCTCCTTCCTGCCAGCGTCCTCCTTACTGGGCTGGGGGTTGTGATGGCATTAAAAGGGTGGTGTAAAGTCATTTTTACCCAGCCATGTGAAACCATCTCAGGTGGTGAAGCTTTTTGCTGTGTTAATGGTGTGTCCACTTAGCCTGAGGTACTGTTACAAACTTGAATGAGAGCACAAACTGGCTTGGAAGAAAAATAATCTGTTATCAAGTCTGCCAGGCAAATAGGTTACAGAATTTTCTGCCATAAATTGCAGAAGAGGCTTCAATCAGAAATGGTGAAGTCAATGTTATTTTTTCCATGGCATCTGTGCTTCTGGAGAACGACTTCATGAAGTCAGTGGACGTCATTATATTTAGGATTCTTGGAGGGAGAGACAGACCCGTGTCAAGTCAGCTCAGGGCAGGTTGTAATCTTTAGCCAATTTGTAACAATTTAGTGAATTGTTCTAGAGTTTTTATTTTGCAACCTACAAGAGAGCACACCTGCTTACAGTGCTCCCGTGACTGCTTCTGCCAACCCACTCCTAACTTTTTCTCCATCTGGTCCCCTTGAATTGACTTATATTGGGATCCAAAATGGATCAGCTATTCCAGCAGAAGAAAATACCGTGACACAGCGGGGGGGTCGCTGTCATCGCAGCATTTGAAGTTTCCTGCCCCCTCACCCAAATGCATATACTCCACAAACTTTTAACTGTAGGCCAGACATGGGAAGAGGATAGAGAAAGGAGAAGAAACGACAGGAAAGCAGCCTGTTGTTCCTCCCTAATGACCAGAGCTATAAGACATAATTGTGCAGGTGAGGGATGCTAAGGGGGGGATCTCTGTCAGGCATTGACTCTGTAAGCCACCTCCCTGTAAGGAAGAACAGGGATTTCTTCCTGTCTCTCTGAATTCCAAACATTTGGGCATTTTGCCCCCTTAAAATTTTGGGGGAGGATTTTTATAATACAAGTAGAAGAGAATTCTGATGGGTTGGAGAAACCTTCTCATTAAAAATAAATTTAAATCCTCTACATGGAGGATTTAAACCTACCTACATGCCCTCCAGTGGCTGTACAACTTTGCCTTACTGGGAGAAGCGTCTCTGGAAACAATTGTAAAATGTTAGCAAATCCACCACAGGGATTCCCTCTGCTGTAATTCCATCCTCCACAGAACATATCTGTCTCTGTACACACAAGTCCCAGGACAGCTGCAAAGTCAGGCTAGCGGAAATTAAGTTCACAAATTAAGCTCCTGCAAAAATAGGAGCTGCATTCCAGATCTGAGGTTAATATCCAGAGGAAGGGCTTGGTTCTGACAGAAGCAAACCACCTGCAAATCCGCTTCAGATCAGTCTGTATTAAACTAAATTTTGAGCAGTTTCAGCAAAAACACCTCAAATTTGATAGGATCTGGAGATCCTGCTCTCTCTTCGCTCCAGAGACGGGGTCTCCAGGACAAGGTGAGGCTGACAGAGAAGCTCTCGTGCTGTACGAGGCTGGGGAATAGCCGACAGGGAGTACGATCCCATAGGCTGCAAGGTCAAAATCCCGATATTATTTTCCAGATTTACCAACGTGGAATTCATGTCTAAAAACAAGGCAGGAAGGAAGATTTTTCAAAAGCACTCAGCCCAGCTGTCATCATCTTTGTTTAGAAGAGGAGGAAAAAAAGGGGGGAAAAAAAAAAAAAAAATTTCCAAACCAGAAACTCCTTGAAGGGCCACCCAGGTACTGACCAGAGCAGCAGCACGTTGTGCACGTGACTGGGTGGCCAGCTGCTGTCTTTGGAGGCTGTGACCTGGGCTTTGCTTGGCCTCTTCTCCTTAGCATTGTTTGAAGGTCCATGAGTACATCCAGCTGCTGGATATGTCGAGTGTTGAGGCTGAGCTAACTCAGGTAACCAGCCAAGCCTGCTTCCCAAACCACATGGGCTGTGATGAGTTATAGCTCCTGGGGTTTTGCACCTGGCTCCAAGGTGTGCTTCTCCTTCGGGAACAGCTTCTCAGCCCCCGTGCTGTGCCAGGTTTCCCCATGCTGGCAGGTTTCTGCTTCTGGCATCGTTCATTTGCTAAGCAGATGCCCTTCCGTTGTCCACAAACAGGTTGACTTCAATGTCAGTCTGAGGACATCAGTATGAGAGATCATCACACAGGTGGTTTGGGCAAGAGTGGTAATCGTGAGCGATTTTTGTTTAAAGAAAAGAAACGTGGAGAGTCCAACTAATGCTCTTTTTCTTCCTTTGCAGATCACCAGGTTGAAAATTGACAGAAACCCCTTTGCTAAAGGTTTCAGAGATTCTGGGAGAAACAGGTAAGAGGAGCTTGTTTGTGTTTCCTCACTGCTCTCCTCTCTCCTTCCCCTGAGAAGTGCACAGGGCACGTGTCGAAGCCCAAGGAAGGTGTTCTGTGATCATCACCACTTTTTGCAGGAGGAGTTTGCTGTAGAGCTAGTTCTTAGAGGAATTAGAAGGATGGTTTTACTTTGCCTAAACAGATCCAAGGTGTAATGATGGCTTCCTTAGAAAAGGCTTCCCAGGTTCTGTTTCCAAGTCTCCTTCAGTGCTGCTCCTGCCTGGATCCTGCAGTCCCAAACCCCAACAGAGGATTTTAGATATTCTTCAACAACATATCAGTAAAGGCAGCTTATTACTTTCCTGCTTGACAACGTTTTTCTGTGACTGTATTTTTTTTGCTGTCGTACGTTTAATTTCCTGGTCACTGCTACCTCAGAACCCCTTCTGTTACCACCACTTTCAAGGCTGTTTTCTTCTGGATATATGTTTTGCTGTGCCTGCTGGATAATTAATTTATTTATGCTCATTTCTATTATTTTCGTGCTCCTCTGAGCTTTTCCATTTCTTGAGAAACACAATTAAAACGTTCTTTAGCATCTCTGATAAGTTATTAGTAAGCTGTTCATGTATTACTGATATGGTGCCATGATATCCAAAGAATTGGGTAAAATAAATGAACTTGTGAAGACACAGTAGAGTTTCTTAAAAAAGTAATCTTTTTTGTTACTAAAAGGAAGAACAGAGACAGAAAAATGGAGGATTGCAGACTGTAAACCAGACGAATAGGTCACAGGCTAACACTGCAAAATAATGAAAGTTGTAGGAGAGGAGACCTAGACACTTGTGCTTGTTCTTTATTGTTTGTAGAGCTGGCTGAAGGGCACGTTTAAACTTTAATTTTCACAGGAAATTCCAAAACTTGGGGCACAAATGCTTGCTTCACATTACATTAGAAGAAAAATTGAGTTTCCAATAGGTTTGCAGGATAAAAGTACAAAACCGTTCTAGTTTCAAACAACTTCAGATTTTCCCCAGTGGTGTCAGATTGTTTCACTTTGACTGCTTTGCCTAATTTTGTCAGCATTTTTGTGAAAAGATTATCAGAACACTTTACAAATAATTTAGAATATATCACATTTTAACAACACAATAGTAAAGCAGGAACTTTAATGACAAAACTTTTGCATTAGTGAAAGAAATCATAGAGTTATCCAAAAGGAATAAGAAAATCCAAACAAAATGTTCGAACTCTTTCTGCCGTTCATGAATCCAGCAGCAGATCCAAATATTTGGGATCTAAATGATGAGAGTATCCTTTAAATCAGTGCGACAGAGGCTTTAAATGTTAAATTAATTACAGAATGAGGCATATATGACTAGGTTACAAGAACCCCAGGGCTGTGAAGCGAGGCTCTGTGCGTGCACAGCCCTCGTTTGCCATCCCCACGGGCACTGGAATTCGGTTTCCACTTGCACGCTCCCCTTGTGCGCGTTCACCAGGACCGCTGCGCTCCGTTCCCGGTTCCGTAGGGGAACTGTGCAGTGAATCCGCAACTGCTCCGTGTTTCCCTCACCCGTTCCAACACCACGCTCTCCGTGATCACAAGGAAGACACCTTCCTGACCTGGTGACTTCCCAGCTCGAGGCATCCTGGACTTTTCCGCTGCTCCGCGCTCCGCTCCGGCGCGGGGGGAGCAGGACGTGCCCTGGGCACGAGGTCTTCAGCTGCGCTGGGGCTGGGCTTAGAGGAGGGATTGATGCAGTTCCAGGTACATGGTGGGCTAGATGAACGTGGAAGGCATTAATAAGGTCCCAGCCCAGTGAATTTGGACAGTTTCCTGAAAAGGTTGGGAATTACTGATCTTTGTAGCTCATTGATTTAAGAAAGGGCAGGAAATTGCTACACGGCTGCAGCTGTGGGGAGGGCTCACTAAGGCTCTCTGCTGATGTAAAGAGGAATTAAAATCTTTAAGGTATTACACATCAAAGAGAGCAGCCTGAGGCTTTAGGAAGGGAAAACAGGCAAAGGTATTTGTGAGCATATATAGCAGCCAGGCGCCTGCCGCACAAGCAGAGCTCTGGCCGAGATGGAGTTGCTCCTCTGACTCGTGGAGGACACTCTAAGGCTCAGCTGCTCCCTTTGAAGAGGACACGTACGTAGATGTACACCCAGGAGGGAGAAAAACATTGAGGTCCAAGCTGTGTGTGGGAAGTGTCTCCAAATGGGACTTTTCTTAGCTGTGCTGGCTGGATTCTCCTCCCCCTGTGACTTTCTAATCTCGTAAGGATCAGTGGTCAACCTGGGTGATGACCATGATGCTCTGTAGCTTCCCACATCCTCACAACCACTTCGGTCAGCTATCGGGGTGTAGCTGGAGAACGTCCCATGGGAAAACATAGGCCTCCTTTGAAAAAGAAACAGGATAGTTTGAAAAAGGGGCCGTTTGTGAAACAGGCAAGTGTAGTAAATGTCCAAGAGGTTTTCTGTATAAGGTCTTAAAAGAAAAAAAGTGTGGGAGCAGCAGGGGCCAGAGAACGTCTGAGGCTGCTCCAGGGCATCATAACCCAGCGACATCGGGATACTGAATCGGAGCCATGGTTAGAGTTTGCCAGTGGATGATGGAGAGAAAAAAACAACACTGGAGAAAACAGAGCACGGTGGGAGAAGAGGAACTCTTAGGTACTTCCTCCCTAGGCCGTTTCCTTTCTGCTTTGTGCTGAGGCTTTTCCATGAAACGGAGAGGGATGTTTTTCCTTCGCTTGTTTCTTATTCTGATATTGTTTCACTGTTGTTGCCTGCTGCAGAAACTAGTTTTAAAATCAAGTGCCAATCTTCCGTTTCCCCTTTTTAAATCTTCCATTTCCACCAGCTCACAGCCTGCCCGTGCGCTTCCTTATGACTGTGATCTCCTTCCATTCATACAAGAGACTGCTAAAAACCTGGGGCTCGGGGACACCCCATCGTGATGTCACTGCCTGTATCCATCTGGGAGAGCGATCTTCTCACGGATGCCTTCTGGGATCTCGTGCAGTGGCTTGCATGGCTGTCTCCCTTCGGGGCTGGCTGCCTCAGCCCTTGAGCTGGGAGAAGGAGCAGCGAGGTGTTTCAGAGGGAAGGATGCAGGCAGCTCAGCAGCTGGACGTTGTCTTGCAGCCTCTGAGCACTCAAACCGTGTCAGTCGATGGTGTTCAGCAATCCAGCTGTTAGCCCTGGTGGAGCAGGGAGTTAGCCTGTGCTAGGCGGCTGAGTCCCAGTTCCCGTTTGGTAGAGACTCCCTCTACAGGGTTTTGGGTCCCTCTTTGCTTTATCTGCAAAAGCACGTGAAGCATCCGTGAAGGTGAAGCAAGAGAACTGGTCCTGGTGGTGAAAGGACACCTAGGTGGTGTGCGTACGAGGCAGGTGTGACTCGGCTGCTTTCCTGGGATTCGAGAGACTGGGATCAGGGTTTTGGCACGTGGAGCTCAGCCAGCCAAGCGTTTGGGTAACGGGAGCACGGGTTTAATGCCACAGAGCCTATTTTTGGAGACTGAGTAAAGTTCATTTGAGAGTAGGATGCTTGCGGGAGCTCCTTCTCCAGGAGGAAGCCAGAAGGGACAACAGTCAGGAAACCCAGCAGGGTGAGGGAAGGAAAAAAACCCTAAGCTGAAGGCAAGAACCAGCACTTTTCTTTCAGATGTGGGCAGCTGAGGTGGATAAAAGTTGTTTGTGTTGGAAATGCTCTTTGAGCTTTTGTGGAGGGCTAGGGAGCCAGGAGGGCGCTGGGAGCCGGTAGTTTGGCTTCCCCAGGGAACAATGGGGCGATGACCGGAACCCCGCGTGCAGCGGGAATGGCGAGGCTGGCCGTATGGGATGGATTACGGAGCTGCACAGATAGCTCGTACATCTTTTTTTGTTTTTCAGACAATGGAACTGTTTCATTTATTGCCTATTATTAAAACTTTATAGCACTAAAAATAAATAAAAAAAAAAGAATGAAAAAGAGAGGGCGAATTTTGGATACCTTTTAAAGGACTGACCTTATTAAAATAAAGCTGGCAGTGAGTCTTCTGATACTTTTTTTTTTTACTTCCTTCATAAAGATGGTGTGAGAGGGGAGAGTTTATGGCCTGATAGATGGTTTGAAGTCAATATTTCAGTGCAGTTCTTTGGAAGAGAAAGTGGATGCCACATGGATCATGTTCAGCACACTTGGTACCAGCAGCCCTCACCAAAGCCCAAAAGAAGTTGCTGAGATTTCACCAATGCTGAAAACAATTCTTTTTTTTTTTTTTTGTCAGCAGTTATTACTGTCCCAAAATGTCTCTTTGTTGGCCAGGTGGGGTTTATTTTCCCTGTTAGGGGCTGGAAGACACACAGAATAACACGCCAGTATTTCTGCTGACTGGGAGAGCATTACCTTTGTGTCCTGTGGCTGAGACTTGTGATGTGACTCTGGATATCTTGGTACCACACTGATGTCATAAACTATGGGAGAGATGGTTGTTGGAGTTGACAGAGATGGAGTTTCTTGATTCCCACCCCCTCATCTCACCATTCTTTTTTTTACAAAAATAAGAATACATCACAGAAAGAAGAAAAAAAATGCACAGAGTTGTAAAATCAGTCATGCAAAGGTGTATGCATTCTGACCCAAGCTTGTTTTTCATGGCTGCATGTTGGTTTTCTGCAGTGCTCCGTACGTGGGGCGGTAGGTGCCGAGCAGCTTAGACCAAGAGACTTCTGTCTCGTGGATCTCGTCTTTCGTGGGAGAAACAGAAAGTTCAGTAAGGGTGTGTTCTGCTTGGATACTATTTCAGAAACACCCACAACATTTGTTCTGTGCAAAAATAAAAATCAAACCAGGAAAAAAGAATGATCTAGTAGTATGCAGGGACCTACGTTTGTGTGTAGGAGAAGGGGCTACAAGAAAGCTGGAGAGGGGCTTTGGACAAGGGTGTGTAGTGACAGGACACGGGGCAATGGCTTTAAACTGGAATAGGGGAGATTTTGATTATATATAAGGAAGAAATTTTTTACACTGAGGGTGGTGAGGCACTGGCACAGGTTGCCCAGAGAAGCTGTGGCTGCCCCATCCCTGGAAGTGTTCCAGGCCAGGTTGGATGAGGCTTTGGGCAACCTGGTGTAGTGGAGGGTGTCCCTGCCCATGGCAGGGGGGTTGGAACTGGATGGTCTTTGAGGTCCCTTCCAACCCAAACCATTCTATGATTTACCTTCTATGGGCTCACAGGCACAGTGGAGTTCACCCTCTGACAGTAGTGTATTATTCCTGATTTACTTTTTTATTTTTTCTTTCCGCTATCTCCTGACTATTCTCTTTTTTCCTTTTCTTTTAGAAGTACAAATTTTACAGTCCTTCCAAGAACTGTGTTGAAAGTGGTAGCCAGAGAGCTGGAAACTTTGAACTGTGAGTCAGGCTGAGCTGAGAGTGCCGAAGGCTCCAGGCAGAGGACGGGGCAATAGCTTTAACTGCCTTTACTGTTTCCCTGAGCCACCTCCTGTTAGGGGCTGGATTTTACTGGAATGGGGTCAGGAGAGCAGAGCTAGGAGCCAGATGCTGGCGCAGAGCAGGGTTATGTGCACGGGAATCTGATGACTGAGCCAGACTGGGTGACCACTGGGTTTAGCAAGCTGGCCTCCCTCCTTCCCCGGTGGCAGATGCAGAGCAGCTGGATTAGCACAGCTGGAGCTTTCAGTCTGCCTTTCTGGATGTGTTACTTGGTTTTAGTCGTCAAGGTGGGTCCTTTCAGCAGTAGGTCTTGGTGCATTGCGACTTGCTCGGGGTGTTTTATGCCCTCTGGGTATATGGCAGTAGAAGGTCCTCCCTCCTGTTTGGGCTGGGAATGGTTTATGTGGCTGCAAAAAGATAACAGTTCTCTTCCCAGCTGCGTGTGTCATGAAGCAGATGGAGTCTGAACACGTGTGGCTTTCTCAGATGGGGAGCGGGGGAGATCCTGGGGGTGGTACCGGTCGTCGACGAGCTGGTTTTGCACACAGAGCCCAGCTTAGCAGATGGGTCCGTGTTCTGCGCTGCCGTGTTGTCTCTGAGCTCCATGAGCTGGCAGAGGCCGCTGTATTAACCGAATAGTTTTGTTGTAACGTGCTCAGCGCTAGTGTGAGACTGCTATGCAGAGATGTCTTCTGTTTCTACTTCTAACAGCTTAGCAGCTAATAAACACCATGCAACAACCTCTCTTCTAAACCTCCTCTTAAAATACAGAGTTTGGTTTGCCAACTCCGATGTATTTAAAGCATCCGAGCTTCCGGGGAGACTTTGGAAAGTTAACTGAGTGAGTGGAGGCACGTGCAGAAGGACATTTTCAGAAGCAAAAGGCAGCTCCAGTATCAGCTCAACATCTGATGAGAGGCTCTGGGGATGTTGGAGCCTTTTGCATTGAAAGGGGATACGTTCTCGCGTTCGGCGAAGCATCTCTCGTCGTGTCCGGGCAGTGCGAGGGCTGTAACCTACTGCTGGAAAAGAGGCAGAGGAGGGTGAGGAACAGGGAGCAGAGCGATGTCTCGTAAGGAACGCGGAGGTCTTTCCCTGACAATGCACCTATGCCCTCCCTGAGCCCGTGGAGTTGGAGACTTTCATCAGAGCTAGCTTTCTGTGGGGAAAATAAGAACAAATCCGAGACCCCAGCCCTTCAAGAGGAAAAGTTCTCACTTCATTTTTGGCTTTTTCTCTTCGGTGCTGTCTTTGGGGTGTGTTAGGGACCCAAAGCAGAGATGCTACTAATCTTTTATAAAAAACTTCTTACGCATTTCTAGTTGAAGTCCAAATCTAAGGAGATTCCCTTTCGGACGGCTTCCTGTAGTGCTTCAAAGCAGTGCCCAGAACTAAGAGGCGGCAGGGAAAGGCAATCCACAAAATCTCTCTGATTCTAAAGGTTGAATCCCAGCCCTGCCCAGTTGGCGTCACAGCTCGCATCCACAGCGTGCGGCAGCCCGCTCTGCCATAAAGCGTGCCTTGAGGAGCTGGCGGTCCCGTGTCCCCTGCAAAGCAGACAGAAAGTTCAGGATCCTTGTTAAAAAAAGGAAAAGGTGCTGGAAGGCTGTTAGGGGCTTTTGAAATCCTGGGCTGGGGAAATGTCATTTTACTGCAGTGGCCAGCACCTGTGCCGGAGGGCTCCCTTGAGGAATTCACAGATGCCCAGGTGACCTCTCAGTGGCCGCTGGCAGCCTGTCAAGTGAGGTGGTAGCCCTCTTTCCCCGGCACCGATACCCTTGCCAGCTGACTGACGTTCTTCTCTCCTTGCTTTATTTTCATGGCACAGGACGGGGCTGGAGGCCATCATGGAGACCTACGCCTTCTGGAGGCCCCCCGTGCGCACTCTCACCTTCGAAGACTTCACTACCATGCAGAAGCAGCAAGGTGAGCGTACAAAACGGGCATGCAAAAGGTGGTAGAGAGAGCAGAAGAGGGTGTACGAGCAGCAATGTGCTCTGCTGTGTGGCCAGGAGGGCTTGTGCACCTCATTGAGCTCTTGACTGCGGTGAAGGGACACCGAGCAGGGAGGATGGATGGAAAGGGTGGACAAACTGTGCCTTGTGAGCTGCAGTGCAGCCACTTCACCTCCCTTGAAGTCCCCAGCGCACATAAAAGCAGAAGGAGGAGCAGGAAGGAGCACAGGGTTGGGAGAACCAGCCTGAGTACTGAGCATGACTTGAGTGTGGAGAGAGCCCAGAGAGACCGAGGAAACGCTCCAGCATGTCAGACCTGTTGTTCCCCATTTACAGCTTGGGTTTGCCATTGGTGTGGGAACGCAAGGGGAAGGGGTGTGTGTCCTCTGCAAGCTTTAGGAGACCAGAAATCTGCCTCCCCCCCAGGATCGTGCTACCTCGCTGTCAAAACCCAGTGGCCTGGCTGGAGAGACTTGCTGGGAGGAATTATTGGGCAGGCCAAGTGTTTTCCGCTTGTTCATGCTGTGTCTTTTCATAGCTTCTGCCCTTTCCATCTCTTATTTGTTAAGTAGGGCTTTCAGCTCCGGTTTCATTTTTTTTTTTTTTTTTTTTTTTGCACTGATAGGACTTCCTCATTCACTTCATGGCAGCTATTTCTAGTTAAAACCAGTGATCACTGGGAAGAGAGGTACTGGGGCAATCCGGTTGGGTTTTTTATTCTGATATAAATGCAAGAAAAGAAACAATCTAAAGCCGTGTTCTAATCTGACACCAACATCTGTGAGGTTAAACAGCCAAAGCCAAATGCATGCCCTGTGTAGCAGATTCTCCAGTCTCTCACGCTTGAGCTTGACATCACCCCAAAACTTCCCACCAGACCTCGAATCCATCTGGAGAAGCCACGGTCTCCTCCAGAGGGAGGGTAGCAGCAGTGGCTGCTGGGGCTGCCCATCACCAGGGCAGGATCAGAAGGGCATCTCTTCTGGCCGTCCACTGCCCACCCCAGTTCCCCGTACAACACCCTGCAGCCCAGCTCGCCCACTAAATCATTTTTCTGATGGCACAGCACCAGCGGAGGACAGACCACAACTCCCCATGCACGATCTTTACGTGACCACCCAACCTTCAGCAGGGCAGCACGGGGCAGGAGAGGTTTTGCACAAGCTCAGGGGCTTGGGTCGAGGAGCACTGGGTGGTGGGGAGTACGGTCAGAGACGGGTTAAAGCAGGGATTCGGAAATGTTTTCATCACCCACCTAAATAGAAACATAACAGCCTCTCCTTCTGGTCACGGTCGCTGAAGCAACCCCCTCAACGGTCCTCTGCCTCACCCCCAGTTTGGGCTCACACACCTCCCCTCCCCTCCCGCCCGTTATCAGATAACATCCTAGTGGCGAGTCCAGCTATTGCTTACGTGGTAAGGTAATATTAGGAAAGGAAAATATTTAATGTATTTTTAGCTTGTTTTGATATAGTTCAGCAGCTGAAAAATCAGGAAGCAAGCCAGTGCCCTGTGAGCAGCCAGCTCTGGGCAGCCCACCACCACCACACCACAGGCCACCAGCCTTAGGGCAGCCCTTAACTAAAGTCGTGTCCACAGGTCAGCCTCCAAACTCACTAACTCACCGCAGAACTACTTTTGAGCTCTGCGTTTAGCCACGCGAAGTGACCTCGGAACAAGGAATCAGAAAATCAGAGTGCTCCCCTCTCCAGTGGCTGCTGTAACGAGCTGGTGCCTGGTCTCAGCCATGGGTGCAAAGCCAAGGTACAGACATTCTGCTTTAATTTCTGGCTGCCAGGACAAGCCTCAAGGACCAGCACAAATAGAGCGGTCAGGAGGTCTTGGAATTCCTAGCAGAAGGAGCAAGAAATGCTGAGATGGCTTTAAGCCACACGTGATTCTTCCCTCCAAACCCAAGAGGAGCAGGATGCACAGTGTCCACCTCTCCTCACCCCCTTGCTTTCCAGCACATGAACTGTTGGTGAATAAATCACTGGTGTTTAGCAGCTGACTTCAGCACAAGCTCAGATCCCCTGAGCCCCAGCCAGGCTTTTCATGGAAGGGACTTGCCTGGGACTCTATTCCTCTCTCCCACCTGAAGCTTCAGTGCTCTGAGCTGCGGGCCGTTACCTCCTGCCCTTGCATCTTTACAAATTAGAAGTTTTCAGGGTGTTATTTTAATAAACAGACACTTTAATTGTAGATCATGCCGTTGTCTCCAAAGCATTTCTGAACAAACACTCGATGAATTGCAAGCTTCCATTTTATCCCTTGAATTGTTAGTTTTACGTAGGCTGCATCTGGTTTAGGATGAAGTTCTTTGAGGTTGACACCAAAATGGATATTTTTAGTTATGGCTACGGATGAGAAGCAAATCAGCTCCCGGGGAGCTGAACAGCTGGCACCAGAAAGGGATGCTACGTGGTTGGCTCTGGGAAGCTGCTCTGGGGCTACAGGAGCCTTTTGGGATGTGTGAACTGTCCTTCCTCACTTCTCATCTCTGCTGTGGCTCTTCATGAAGTCAGATGTACCCACTGCAACCTAAGAGGAGGGCACGTGTACTGCAGAGTAGCGAAAGTGGCCACGTGCCCGGGAGGGAACATCGCTGCTGGGGAGTGAGTTCTGGTTATCCAGCCTGGAGGGGAGGGAGGGAGGACGGATGGACATCATGGTGCTGAAGTAAGATGCTGTCTGTGGTGGGCAGGAAAAAAGCAATAGGCTCCACTGATAGGAATTCTAGCGAAGTGATGGAACAGATCCCCTGGAGGAACTGTGGAATTCAGCCCTGATTTTCGAGGGATGAGTCCCCCTTACTGTGATGGGAAAAATGATGTGTTCTAGGACAGAAGCTTGGGACTTCAGCAATATATAGTGCTTTTGCTGCTTTCCAGCTGGATTTTCATATGCTAAGGATTGCTATGGATTCTTAGCTTTTCTTTTGTCACTTGGTAATTTTTTTATGAGATAAAATTGTTATTTGCCTTTTCCAAAATAGTCCTGTCAAAAAAAAGTCCAACAGAATTATTTGTTTGGGTTAGAGATTGGACTGATAGAAGTAACTGTATAGGTGTGATGGATTTTTGCAGAGCATTTAACTTACTGCCACATGTGCCAGCTTGGAGAAGTTACCATTGGCATGTATTAAGAAACGAGTAGCTGACTGATCTCAAAACTGATGTGATGAATATGGAAACATCATCCAGTGAGGACAGTCCCAGTGCTGCTCTGCAGAGACTGGTTCCAGTACTAACTTGTTCAGAACTAAATGAAAGGGCCCAGTTGCTGAAAGGTACAAATCTCACACCGACTGCAGAGCGGTCCGTAACGGCGGGGATGAAGGTACGAAGAGGATGGAGACTGCACGTGGTAACCTGCACGTGTTCAAACTAAGCGTGGCTTTTAGTTCGGACGGATCTGTTGTTGTGTGTCTGGAAACTAAACGTTGGACGTCCATATGCACTGGGTGTGCTGGAAAGTGTTGGCACTGGCAAAAATTTGGAAGGCTCAGCGGATAAGCCACTGCACAGGCAAGGGATGGTGTATGTCATACTGTGATGGAAAGGGATGTGCAATGTTTGGTGTAGGAAAAAAGCAGTGGTAAGCAGTGGGGAGGCGATTTCCTAGCTCCAAACTGACGTGACAATGTAGTCTCCTACTGTACGTATCTTTAAAGGGTGGAAAGAGACTGAAGAGGGTTCAGGGGAAAAAAAGTGGAATGATTTGTTGACTGGAGAAGACGCCTGAGAATGAAAAATCAGTTTGCACAGTTAATCAAAAAGAAAATCAAGCACTGAATCTTTATGGCCTATACTATTTAGCAGAGGGAAGAGTGTAATGTAGCTTGATGTCACTTGTCCTCGATGGACTCTTGTGACTGTGGTTTCCTCCACAGTTCCTCCAACTGTGAGGAACACACTATGTTACTGTGGCTCTGATTTTTCTACTCTAACTGAACGTTCATCCCTTTTTGTGGGATGTTACAAGATAAGGAGAACAGAAGTTCCCTCTGATCTACCTTCTTCATACAATTAGTTGTTTTACAGATTTTTACGTCCTCCTTCTGTGCTTCTCACAGTGAACAGTGCCAGTCGTTTCTTTTCTCTTCAAGTGGGAAGTTTTCCAGGTCCTTAATCACTTCTTTAAAACCAAGTCTGCACAGAGTATTCCAGATGCATCCACATGATACGATTATCTAAAGGTATTATAATTTTTTCCACATTACCCTTTCTCCCATTCCACATGCATCCTAGTGCTTTGCTCGTTCGTTCAGCCCAAGCTGTGCGTTGAGCAAGGGCCACAGCGACACACCGAATTCGTACTGGGTGCACTGGATGCAGCTGTTTCATACAGGGATTTAATAACTTTCTAATCTACACAATGACAGGTTTCAGCTGCCACACAAACTGCAGAGCCTGGTATCACGACCAGTCACACAGGTGCCTGCTGTGGCTGACACTGGTAGTCCACGAGCTTTATTTGCACGTGTTGCCGTTGAAGTCAAGTGCATCAGTAAGTCTCTGCACGTCTGTGACCTGAGTGGTCACCGTGTTGTCCCACCGAGGAGAAGACATGCCATTTCTGTCAGTGAAACCCTCTGGCCTGGCTGCAAGCCCTCTCTTTGGGAGCACGTAATCCAAAAGTCATCATGGCTTTACGAGGGCAAGTGCTGTGTTGGACACAATCACAGCAGATCTGCAGACAGTTTGGGGGGAAAAAAAAAAAAATCCCCTCGAATAGAAACTTTGTAAGAAATGCTCAGAAAACGGCAGTCCAGGGGAGGCTGACCTTCTGGAGAATGATGTCACCCCCTCTGCAGTTCACTTATTACTAGGGAAAAGGGGGCTTGGGATTATTGAATGCACATGGCAATGAGATGTGGGGAAAGCCAAGAATCTATTAAAGTCTTTAATTGGAATATATTTTCAAAATTTAGATTGAACCTCATCCAGATTCTCATTATTAAAAATATGT